CAAATCCGAGGCCATGGTCTTGAGCCGGAAAATGGTAGAGTGCCCTCTCTGGGTCAGGGAGGAGGTCCTGCCCCAAGTGGAGGAGTTCAAGTATCTTGGGGTCTTGTTCATGAATGAGGGAAAAATGGAGCATGAGATCGATAGGCGGATAGGTGCAGCGTCTGCAGTGAAGCGGGCACTGTACCAGTCTGTCGTGGTGAAGAGAGAGCTGAGTCAAAAGGCAAAGCTCTCAATTTACCGATCGATCTACGTTCCTACCCTCATCTATGGTCATGAGCTTTGGGTTGTGACCGAAAGAACGAGATCTCGGATACAAGCGGCCGAAATGAGTTTTCTCCGCAGGGTGTCTGGGCTCTCCCTTAGAGACAGGGTGAGAAGCTCGATCATCTGGGAGGGACTCAGAGTAGAGCCGCTGCTTCTCCACGTTGAGAGGAGCCAGTTGAGGTGGCTCGGGCATCTGGTTAGGATGCCTCCTGGACGCCTCCCTGGTGAGGTGTTCCGGACACGTCCCACTGGGAGGAGGCCCAGAGGAAGACCCAGGACACATTGGAGGGACTATTTTCTCGGCTGGCCTGGGAACGCCTCGGGATACCCCCGGAGGAGCAGGACCATGTGGCTGGGGAGAGGGAAGTCTGGGCCTCCCTACTTAGGCTGCTACCCCCGTGACCCGACCCCAGATAAGTGGAAGAAAATGGATGGATGGCCTTTGTAGTAACGCTTTATAGCTGTGGTTTTGCTAACATTTAACTCAGTCTCTTGACATTTAAATCTTATTTCAAAATCCATCTTTTGCTCAACTGTTTATTTTTTAATTTAGTGTGCATGGCTTATATTCGTGTGCGCTCTATAGACCAGCAGTTACAGTAATACTTATTATAGCTGCCTAAATTATTAGTTTTATTTAGCATGCATGTTGGAATTAGACCTGTTGCTTTTTGTTGTTCAATCATCTTCAAGAACAACATGAAGCTAAATATTAATTGTTTTTGTGTGTCATTTTTGTTCATTCAACCTTTATTTATACAGTTTAGTCTCACTGAGTCACGAGGACTAATTAGAGGCCGAAGCAGCAAAAGTTCTAACTAGAAACACTTGGTGAGTGCGCACGTATAAATCCTATAACTCTGGGTCCTTATAGATGTTTGAGGCACTCGTGTGTAAAAATCTGAAATGAATATCTTTTCAAACCACCCACTGTAAGTTCTTTATCTTTGGAGCAGTCCGATGGACTACCGAGCTGTGCAGCCATAAATTAAGGTGCTGATGGTGCAGCAGTAGAAGTTCGTGAGCATGCAGCTTTAGAGAAATTTTAGGTTTTCCCAATATGATGTTTAAACCTTGTATCAGGCACTTTGAAGTATTACAAACTTGAAGATGGGGATTGTTTCAACTTTCTTCCCTCCAAGTTTCTAATTACATCTAAGCATCTATTTGTGTTTAACATGGAAAAAAAAAGACTTTACAGATATTAACCACACAAAATGATCAACTTTTATTTTGAAGGAAGTTTAAAGTCTTAAATCTTAACAGGATCTGTCAGCATCTATTAGTATAAAATGTTACACAAGGACTGTTCTACATTACAGGACTTGTAAATATGAAACGGACTGTTTAAAAGAACAAAACAGTAACTTGTCATTTAACAAGGTCACATTAAACAGGAGTTTTTAAACAAATCAGATTATAAGTGGTCATGTTAAAAACCTTGTATGAACTTTATACACGTTTTACCATTTAGTTCTTTAAGGGATTTTAAACATTTGATAAGCTCATTAGAAAATCTAAACAAATATATTCTTGGTTTTAGTATTTTACCTTGTTTTATATGCACCTTGATTTGATGGTTTTTCCATCCATCGTCATCTTTTCCAACTTTTTGGGGGTCACTGGTTCCATATCCATCAGTCACTGTGCGAGAGAGGAGGGGGACACCTGGACATGTCTCCAGTCCATCACAGGGACACAGAGACAAACATCCATTCACTCTCTCTCACCTAGGGACATTTTAGAGTTGCCAATCAGGCCAACGTGCATGTTTTTGGTCTGTGGGAGGAAACTGGGGTACCCGGAGAAAACCCACGCAGCACAGAGAGAACATGCAAACTCCACCCAGAAAGGTCCCGGGCCAGGATTTGAACAGGCGACCTTCGCGCTGAGAGGCAACAGCTCTTCCACCTGAGCCACCGTGCTGCCTTAATTGTTTTTGTAACACCACTCTTCATTTTAATTGCTTTTTATTGTCGTGTCTCATTTTCTGCACTCTATGTGTTGTCTGTCTAAAACAGGTCTCTCTTGAAAAGAAGTCCTTGTGACTCGGTGAGACTAACCTGTATAAAGGTTAAATAAAATATAAAAATGTGATTTTCACAGGGCAGCACGGTGGCGCAGTTGGTAGAGCTGCCGTCTCTCACCGAGCACAGGTTACCACGGTTCAAATCCTGGTCCCAGGGTCTTTCTGGGTGCAGTCTGCATGTTCTCTCTGTGCACGTGTGGATTTTCTCCCATGCGCAGACTAAAAACATGCATGTTAGGCTGATTGGTACCGCTTGCTGAGAGAGAGATAATGAATGTTTGTCTCCATGTGTCCCTGTGATGGACTGGAGACCTGTCCAGGTGTCCCCCGCCTCTCTCACAGTGTTTGCTGGACATGGACACAAGTGACCCCTGTGACCCGAAAAGGCAGAAGAGGGTAAAGATGATGTCTTTTCACTTTCAGGGACTAAACTACTCTCAGTCATCAATGGGTTTAACATGAGTCTGACTTTAATTAACACCTTAAATGCTTAAATACATGTCTTAAAAAGACAACTGTGAAATACCCTCAACTATATTAGATATATCCTGATGCATGCTCAATAATCCAGGTAGAAAAATCTAAAAAAGTTAAATCTGGTCCTCTGGACATTCATTGGCCCAGCACAGAAGATCAACATCATCAGGCCAGGACTCTACGGTCTACACTCATCTCCAGGCCAGCGGTCACTCTTTCAGGGATGAAGATGTTCACATCCTGGACAGAGAGGAACGATGGTTTGAGAGAGGAGTAAAGGAGGCCATCTTTGTGAAAAGAAACCGTCCATCATTAAACAGGGGTGGAGGCCTCCGGGTTCAACTGTCCCCCTCTTACAATGCTGTTATTGCTAGTATCACTCAGCCCTCTGTGAGTAGTAAACAGCCATCAGTGTGCTAATGATCCATTGTTAGGCTCATGGTCCTTTTTGAGCATGTGATCAGCTGGTTTTGGTTGTCAGCAGCAAACTGGTTGATCCACTCTGAGAAGGTGCTATTTAAGAGACTGAGCTGAATACAGCACCTCAGACTGAGGAAGTCTCTTGGATGAGAGACGAAACGTTTCTACATTTTTTTGTTGATTTGCTTTGTTTTGTTTTTTTGAATGTCCAGAGGACCAGATTTAACTTTTTTAGATATATTAGATATATTTTTTTAAAGTTTTACGCAGAGAAGTGTTAAAAAATAAGTGTCAGGTGTTCCACTCAGCTGACGGGGCAAGACTGCCTTTAAGAGCAGAAGAGAATAAAATATTTGACGACATCAAACGAGAAAAATTCTTTTGGTTTATTATACTAATCTGAAATATGAACTGTAGTTTGCTACCAGTGGTTTCCTTTTGATTTCACCTAATTAATCTAATTTGAATAAACTGATTTAAAACAATAAACTGTCTCACAACAAAAGACCAGGCAATGAATTCTACTTAATCTGCCTACCACACAAAAATACTTATTATAAAACCAACTCATAATTCTTCATCAGGCAATTACATTTTGTAAATAAAAAACTAAACATGGTTTTGAATCCCCATCTTCTCTACACGCCCTCTACTGGTGCTGGTACTGGGCAACAGATGCTGGTTTTCTCCACAACAAACAAAAGCTTCAGTGAAAGACAACCACAGAGGTGTGTTTGAAAAGAAGCAATTAATGCTGCAGTTTAATGAGATGCCATTAATACTTGAATATTTAGCAAAGTCATACAATACAAAAAGGCATTATGCTTTATTTAACATATTTACAAATTGATACTTGACTGTTAGAATTTAGGAACAATATGTACATACAAAAGGTTATTTTTATGTCAGTTATTTATTTCATCACATTTTTTCTCTTGAAACTGATGGTAGTGCCAAGCAGCAACCTTAAATTATCTCCATAAAATGTTTAAATGATTTTAGAACATTTACCATAAACACAAGGAGTTTCTTCTAAAGCTGGTTTTGTGCACGCGTGTGGAAATACGAAGTTCGAGATCTTCCCAGCACGTTATCTCTTCCTCGTGCAAACGTGGTGACCTTTCTGCAGTCCAGGTGCTTAATTACTTTTCTCCTCACATGCACTGAAATGCTGTGACTTAAAGGTTACCTTCTTTTAGCTTGTATACGCCAAAGTCTTTGACAAACCGTTTAAACTGGAGGAGTTTTATGGCCTCGGTTGTTCAAAGCGCTTAAAATCAGTTTGCAAAGCTCACGAAGATCTCGCATGAAAAGGAGCCTAAATATCAACGAACATCTGAAACATGTTGGTCAAAGCAACAGGTCTGAATGAGTTGATGTAAAAAAAACTGTTTGCAGAATAATGGTGGGCACACTGGATTACAGACAAGTTTGACAGCGATCTTTAAAACAAATAAAAGGTGCTTTAGGAGGCTGTCTTGAATCAGAAACCAAATGCTGCCAACAGTGTTTCAACCATGAATTAAAAAATTTAAAAAAATCATACAAATGGACCCCGTGTTCAAGTAAACTGAACATTAAATTTGATCTTTGTAAAAAACAAAAAAGTGATTGATACAACACATAATGCTTCATTATATTTTTAAATACTTGCCATCAGAACCTGTCTGACTTTTAAGCCATTGTAAACCACCTTAGATACAAAACATGGAGAAAATGTTGCCATGATTGTCACAACCACCCAGACTAAAGAATATATCCAATACCGACCACGTTCTGTCGTTCATTTAGTGCTTTGTGGCTAGAGGTTTCAAGCCATGCTCATTAAGGTACAGGTGGACGAAACGCTGGACGAGCGCTCGTGGACATTGTTATCCCAAACTCCTGACACGAACTGTGTATTTGGATCGTTACTCCACCCAAAGGTGTTGGCCAGTCCAGGACACAGAGCCAGAGCCAGCCTCTGGAGGACGAGACGAGATTTCCTGCGAAAGTTTCGGTTTATCCAGAAGTAGAAGATGCAGTTGAGGAAACCGTTGGAGGTCGGCAGCCACACCACGACAAACTCAGCCCACTCTGGTACGGTGCTACCCGACACTGCTGCAGGTCAGAAGATGATGAAGTGAGACACGACACTCAGCGGACAGAAACAATCATCATGAGAAAACTTGCAATTGTTGACTCACAATCAGTTAAAGCTCAAGTTATGATTGCCTTTTGAATATTTGGTTTACAGAACTGTGTAGAAGTTATTTTAGTCTATGCTTTTCATATTTTATTAAAATATACGTTTTGTTTTTAAACTGATGTTGAGCAACAGTTCTCCAGATTTTCTAAAATACATTTGTAGTTTTTCTTTGACCACTGGCTGCGCTTCAGTTCAGTCTTTGTATCTGACCACGACTGGAATATATGATTCACGTTAAGGTATTTAAAGTTGATTTAACTTGCTTATTTTATTTTTTATTTATCCTTTATTTATACAGGTAGTCTCAAGGAGTCACAAGAACTTATTTTTGTTTTTGGGAGCAGATGATGGGGGTTCATCCTGGTTTCATTCAAGAGTAGTTATAGATGCTGATAGCTGTGGGCAGGAAGGATCTCCTGCAGTGAATTTGAAGAATCTGGTCACAGATACAGATCCGTCCACCTGGATCCAGCTTGCTGTCAGATCCGGCGGGCCTCTCGGTCCTCCTGAGTAGCAGGACTGCCCGAAAGCTCCTCGTCGCCACGGACAGACAGCTGAAGGTGCCGGGGTGTGGTCCCGGTCCTCCCTTTGTCACAAGCCAAGCCTCCCACCAGCTCCAGGATCTTGCCTCCAGGTTGACGGGAATTCATCCACGGCGCCTCCTTTTCAACTCATTTGGGATTTGGGGCTGTAGCTGAGATAGTTGAGTTTTTGAGATGTTAATCAGCTGCTCCTGGTTGTTAAAAAAAAAAAAACAACATCTTGTTGCCATGGTTACGCATTATAACAAATGCCCAAAAGTTTAAAGGTTTCAGTATATCCCTCCAGCTGCACAGCATCCGATACCAGAGGAAATTATCATCCAAAAAAAAGTGATTTACATCCATAAAAAAGAGGAATTAAAAGTTTTCAAAAGCAATAACTCAGAATGAATAGAGTTGCTCCAACATGAAGCCACCTGAGCGGCGCAATTCTAGAACGCTCGTTGAGCCTCGTTAACTCTTGTTAAGGGCCTTGCTCAAGGGCCCAGAGTGGGACAAGTGAGGGTGGAGACAGGTGTGGGTGTTTTACCTTTTCCACTCAGTCTAGGGAGTTGAACCTGTGACTTACCTATGACAGGCTCATCTTCTCTAATCTCTGTGCCACCAAGCCCCTTAAACCTCCCCTAAAAACTCTAAAATTCCACTGATTAGTTTAATTTTTTTTAATCTGGCTCCTTTGGAAACAAAATACATGGGAATGCTGTATATTGACAGTATGCATTATGAATGAATAGCAATTAACTGTAAGCTGTTTTTTTTATAATTATTATTTTACTTTTTGTTTGTTCATTTACATTCACACCTAATCTCAGTATGTATTTACAAAACCTTCATTTGAAAACACAAAAATAATTAATATTTCTCCAAAAGGATTTAAACCCGTTGCTTTTGTGTGATTTTATGCTGTTTTTCCGAGTAGTTCTGGGGCCAAGACTATAATTATCAAGCAGAGTGATGAAGGAAATGGAATGACAGCAGACCTTCCTAAACTAATAGCAGAATCGATACATAAAGTTTCTGGAAGAAAACAAATGCTATAAAATAAAGGAAGAAGAAAATTTTGATCTTGAATACCTGAATCTGCAGAGCAGTCAGAAAATATTTACTGAGAGAGCAATATGAACTGAAAGAAAAATGTACAGGTTACAGAAATATTAAAGATATTAAAACTGTATATTAAAGACTACTCAGACAATTTGTTATATTTTGTATATTATCATTTTACTTTAACAAACTTAAGTCAAGGTCCTCTGGAAAAAATAAAAAAATAAAAACTTGTTGAAATGTTTTGCCTTTTTTCCGAAACACTTCTTCAGTGTAAGGAGCTGCAACAAACTCCGTCTTATAAATAACACCTTCTCATAGTGGCCGACAGGCTCTGTAGTCTACGCTCATCTCCAGGCCAAAGGTCACTCTTTCCGGGATGAAGATGAATTATCCTCGATAGAGAGGAATGTTGGTTTGAGAGGAGTAAAGGAAGCCATCTTTGTATAGAGATCCCGTCCATCATTAAACAGGGGCGGAGCCTCCATGTTCAACTGTCCCCCTCTTACAATGCTGTTATTGATTATGTCATTCAGCCCCCTGTGAATAGCAAGAGGCCATCAGGGCATTAACAACTGGCCATTAAGTCGATGGTCCTCCTTTATCATGTGAACATCTGGTTCGGACTGTCATCAGCAAAGGTGCAGCTCCTCAGACTGAAGAAGTTTTTGGGATAAAAGACGAAACTTTTTATTTATTTATTTAATCTGTTCAGAGGACTTGACTTAATGTTGATATATTTTTTCTACCTGGATTATTGAGCATGCATCGGGATATTTTGTTTTAATGTATCTTAGTTTATTGTAATGTGCATGAATATTTTAAGCTCGATTGTAAATAAACTGGTAACAGCAGTGGTGAGCATGAAAATGCACCTTTTAATACTCATGAAAGCTCTCTTCAGTCTTTTCACTCAAGTGCAATGACATTTATAGTCTTAATTTAAAAGTCTAAAATTAGCTGAAACCTAATGACTCATAATAAAGTGCTTTCCTCTGAGACTCAGTCGTTTGGAAGGGCGCACACTTTGCAGTTTAACTTAAGTTTCATTTTATGGGGATTTTCAGCCATATCAGATAGATTAGAGAGTCCTTTGAAAAAAAAAAAAGGTCTTTACGTCTAAAAATATTCAGCTGCAACTCCACTTTCAGACTGATTACTTGGAGACAGTACACAGTCGGGGTAAATGAGAAAAGTTTTAAAATGTCTGAGTCATAACTGGCTTTGATTCAGTGAACTCATGCCCATCATTACATAAATAAATCTGACAGCTATTCCTCCCACACTCCTGGCAAAAATTGACAGATTTGTTTAGGGAAAAGGCCATTAAATGTTTTGTTTTGAGACATAACTTAAATCCTGAAGAAACTGATGTTTGGTTTTGAATTATTGTGAAAAGTTACTCATGTTAAAAAAAGGTTTATAAACTGAACATCTGTAGGGCTAATAGCACAAACACTGCTAAGCCTGTAGCACTTATGATCCTTTGAAGACTGAATGTCAAAACCATGAAATGTTTCTTGATGTAAAATTTATGATGGGACAGCAACTTTTAGTGAGATTTACTCACAGGGTGCATCTTCTTACTGCTTCAGATAACTTCATTCGTCATTATGACACATTAACATAAAGTGGATCGTTCAGATGAACAGGTTGCACTGATGCAAACATAAATAACTCATTCGTTCATCTTTTTACAGCTACTGAATTTGACTTTTTAAAAACAAATCAGTTTTCAGTTCATTTGAGAGTGAACACCGAGTGAAGATCAGGGATCTATGTTAAACCTCACATCATTTTAAACTGTTACTGCTTTATAGAAAATACTTTGTACATTTAGTATTTTGTGTAAGAGGCAACGTTTCAACAGATGTGTAAGCAGATTTTAGAGGATTTATTCTCTGATGACAGAGCTGTCACATCTTTCATCTCTGGCTCTTTCCCGTGGGTGCTTTGCTTACTGTTGTAGATCATGGCTGCCATGCAGGGGGTCCAGCAGGTGTAGTACGCTGCCATCACAGGAACAAGCACTCTGGCTGCCACGTTGTGTCTGCTGCGGAGCGCACAGCCATACTTGCGCAGTTTCAGTCTCTGTCTCTTGGCTGCACACCACACCCTCAGGTTTGCATACGTCATGACAGTGGAGCAAGGGAAAAATATCAAACAGGTCAGGCTCAGGGAGTAGGCGACGTTGGTGGAATAGGATGGATTGCAGACCAGAGACGCGGTGGAAAAGTGAACCTCAATGATGCCAACTGGAAATGAGATTGGCAGCAGTAAGAAGAGAGGAAAACACCAGGCGAAGGCAATCAGGAGCAATGTCCTCCTCCTTGTCATCAGAGTTGAGTACTTGAGCGGGTAGAAGACTGCGACATACCTCTCCAGGCTTATTGTGGCCAGTGTGTACATGCAGGTGGAGTAGACGGTGGCGTTGCAAAAGGCCACAAGGTGACAAAAAGCATCTGGCCCCTCGGTGTAGTCCTTTAACAGACTCACCCAGAGATTCAAGGGCATGACCAGCAGACCAAACGCAGAGTCTGCAGCAGTGAGGGACAGGAGGAAATACCGGGAGTTTCTTGACCAGCCAGCCACGGAGGAAGAAATAACCAGGAGAACAGCGATGTTACCCAAAGTGATCATCACTCCCAGAACGATGATGATGCTGACTTTGATGGAGCGGTGGCTCAGTTCCTGCAGCCTCTGAGAGTCCACATCTGACACGTTGGAGTCGTCGGAGGTGGAGAGGTTAAGTGGTGTGAACATTGTTCTTCACAGAGACATCAGTGCGAGTAAACCATTAGTCACAAAAAGAAGAAGTGTTGAAATATTACTGAAGATGGGTAAAAATTACACTAGAGCGCAGCAGCAGCTGCAGGTTTCCTCCCTGCAACAATCAGCTGCACACCTGCTGCAATTAGTGCTGAGAGGTGAGAGTTCACCACCAAAAATCCACTCAGCCATAACTCCAGAAAGCTCTAGAGCTTTCTTCCAAACATGTTTATTTATAAATTGTTTTTATTATTATGCAAACTATCTAAATTTTATTTAGTCTATTTACTCAGAAAAGGAAATTACAGACCAGATTTAAAGTGACATCCTCAAAAGTACTGAGAAAACAATTTAATCATTTTATTTCCCCAAATAATATTGTGGAACTAAAATAGTCAACCCCCCTTTTGTTGCAATACTAGAATTAATTCTTACAGTCAGTGATAATTTTCAAGCAAATCCATGATCTAACTCAAATAAAATACAAAACAGTCAAAATTGAATTTGAGGCAGACATTGCTTTTTTGTGTATGTTTACACATGCTTTGTTTTTTTTTAAATAATGCGATATCAGTTCATTAGTGACAAAGTATTTTTTTCATGTATGGATACAAAAGCTGTGTCAAAGTCTACAATTTCTTCACATCATTTAGGTTCAGAGTTGCTGTTTTTCACGCTGTGCATGTAGACAATAAGCTTCTTGTGGTATGTTGGAAGTGGCAGATAATTTGATGCGTATGTATTTAAGTCCACGGGGGTTGTGGGAGGTGGGCAAACATATTGTGGCAGCCATAAATCAAAAAAGTCACATAATTACCCTGCTGGAATAAAATTTGTATTTTTTTCCCTACCCAAACGTCTGTGAAGCTTAAAATTTCAGATGCAGCCCTGTCCACGTCTACAAGATTGTATTCATTGGCTCATTATGCATAACTGTTAGGCTTATCCACTCCTAAAATATGCAGAAATGACCTTTGGGCACTCATTTTAGCTTTCAGCCATGCAAGATTCTAGTTTCATCCAGTGTGTTTCTCTCATAGTGTAATGCATGACACCTTCAGAACTACAGACTGAACGTTTGTGATATAACTTGCAATAAATATAGTTACAAAAACCTTTTGGCACAAAATTTAAAAAGTCTGTGCACATTCCTTTTTCTGTTAGTGAATAGTCTTGTTAGTTGAAAATTAAGATTGGAACAAATAAAGTTGTTGTTCCTGACTGCATCCATGAACTATTCTATTAATGTCACCTCGAGTTTCTACAATCAACAACAACAACTTGGAAAATAAAAAAGAGAAAGACTAAAAGAAAAGTCCCTGACAGCTCGACGTCTTGATCAAGGTCAAATTTCTGAGCTCACACAGCCTCAGTGTTTTATGTCAGCTCTGCTGTTTGACCTTCCTCCATTAGACCTTCATGACAGAAGGGCAGCAGAAAAGACCAGGAAAGATTGGCGCTGATCTTTCCCACTCAGGTCACTCTTTGTTCAGAGATATTCTTCTCTGTTCTCCTAGATTTTTTATCAGATTCTAATGCTGCAGTATTTCCTATCAGCTGCTACAGTTTATCATGAGACCAATCGGTCGCAGGGAACTTATACAGGACATTCTTAAAATGGACTGTAAGTGCAAAACTGCAAAGATTTTTTTTTTAATTTGTTGCCATTCTTGGACTTTCTGTAGGATTGGTTCCCAAACCTCTCAGTTTTTAACCAACAAATTAGCAGCTGCAGAAGTTTCTGACCCCAAATATAAAGAAGTTAAGTATGAATTTTGGCAATTAAACAAGGGGGGAGTGGTACTACAAACAGTCCTAACAATTATATTAGTTTTATTCAATAATATATTTATTGTCTTAATGATAGTAATAAAAATAAAGGTTTTTTTTTTTTTACATTTATTGTACTTTGATTCTTGGAGATCATCTGGAGACCCTTACTCAATGTCTCAGGACCTACAGCAGAATCCTGAGCTGAAATGTTCATTGTTTATCAGTTATTATCACCTGCCTGTTTATCATCAAATGTTAATCAGTTTTTTTAATTTGTGTTTTTCAATATCTTATTAAACACATGTTTTGCTTGTTGGTACTGAACACAGTGCTTAAATAATGAGTTAAGCTAATATTCTCAGTTCACTGTTTCATTGTCATTCCATGTTCAGCTGCTGATGATGATCTTATTCTATAGTTATCTGAAATAATTTTGCACAAATGATTATTGCACCTGATATTTAACTGGCACACTGGTGCAGGTGGGTGATATTTCTTTACGATCCGTTCTGTGTTCTACATCCACGATCCCTAATGAGGAAACATTTTACTGGTGAATAATTAGTTGAGGTCATCAATGATTTGGGACACGGTGACACGGAGCAAATCAACCACGTCAGAGCTCCTGGACTCTAGTCTCAGTTCAGTTTTATACACTTCTATTTATATAAGTTACAGGGAATTGGTTTGGGTCGACCCAGTGGTCATCACAGTGAAGTTTGTGGACATAGACTTAGCTATCACTGAAAAAGCAGCTACCACCAGGTCAGGCAGCAACCAATACGCCAGGTAGCTACCACAAGGCCCAGAACCACACCACTGGGTCCAGCAGCTACCACCAGTCGGGTCAATGACTATCACCAGGCGTGGCAGCCACCAAGGAGAGGGGGACTCGACTAGACTCACCTGGACCTTGGCTAGACTCAAAAATCCAGGTATAATATTGTCCACTAACGAGTTAAAAAAGGATTTACAGGAACTGAAAGCTGCTTTGAACAACATGGGAGATAAGTTGGCTAACATATCAAAACAGCAGTCTACCATTATGAGTTTGATTAATGAAATCATGGAACTCAAAAAGCTAAATAAGGAACAAAAAATGAGGATAAACTTTCTGAGAACATGTCAGACAGAACAACACATGTGAATGACGTGATTATATCCGGACTTACCCTCAAACCAAGATCATATGCTCATGTGTTGAAGGCAGGGGTGAGAGAGGACAATGAGCATGGGGATTCAATTGAGGATCAGGTGACTGGCTACAAGGGCAGACACATGAAAGGGACAAATGTATATATAAAGTTCTATCATATCTTATTAATGAACAGTTCACAAAAGTGAATGCAGATATGGCCAGAACAGCTTGGCTCCTAAAGAAACATTCAGACAATGTGGACTTCTTACTATAAGATTTATGTAAAAATGAATGGCATACAAGATTAGACTAAAGTCTTTTCTATTAGGAGCACAGAGTAGTAGTTGGATCACTTTCCCAGTCGTGAAGAACTTGCAAAAGTACTTAACTCCTTGGTTGTATTACCGGTAGTTGGTGAATAGTTGTTTAGTTTTTCCATTAGGATGTTGTTTAAGACACTTATAAAAGGCTTAAAACGTTCTCATCTTAACATCTGTAGTTAAAAAGCAAGGTCAGCGAGTTATGTTCCATTCTACCAAAGACAAATATACATAATGGCTGTTACTGAGACTCGGATGAAAAGGTTGAGGACACAGCAGTAGCTATAGAAGGATAATATATTTAGACTTGACAGAAATAAATATGGTGGTGGCATTGCATTTTATATTCAAAGTCATATTCCAGCTGAAAGAAGTAAAGGATCTTGGTGTAGAAGCGTTATGGCTTCAGGCAGATTGTCTGCACGTTAGAGCCGTACTAACATGCTGTTGTTATAGACCACCAAATTCAAACACTGAATATCTGAATAATTTATGTACAATGATCCCTCTGTCTCGCCCTCTTTAGTGTCCAGCCTCCCATACAACTCATCATACGCCTTCTGCTTTGCCTTTGCTACCTCCCTCTTTGCTCTACATTGCATCCTGTCTCCTCTCTTCAGTCCTCTCACTGTCATATTTCTTCTTGGCTAATCTCTTTATTTGAACAGCTTCCTGCACTTCACTATTCCACTATTTCCTTATCATCCATTCTCTGTCCAGATGACACACCAAGTACCTTCCTACCCGACTCTATAATTACTGTTGCTGTAGTAGTCCAGTCATCTTGAAGCTTGTTCTTACCACACAAAGAGCCGTCAACAGCTCCTCTCTGAATTTCTCACAACTTTCTTCCTTCTTCATCTTCCACCATTTGGTCTTCTTCTCTGATTTTACTCTTTTTCTCTTCTTCACAACAACAGTCATTCTACACACAACCATCTGATGTGGTCTGGCCACGCTCTCCCCTGCCACAACCTTACAGTCTCCAGTCTCCCTCAGGTTTCCTCTTCTACACAGAAGGTAGTCGACCTGCGTACTCCTTCCTCCACTCTTATAGGTCACTATGTTCCTCCTTCTTTTGAAAATGTGTTTACTACATCCATTTCCATTCTCTTGGCAACATCCACCACCATCTGTCCTTCCTGGTTTCTTTCCTTGACACCAAACCTACCCATCACTTCCTCATCCTCTGTTTCCTTCACCAACATGTCCATTCAGGTCTGCTCCCATCACCACTCTCTCCTTACTGGGAATACTCTCTATCAGTTCATCCAAATCTTTCCAAAATGTATCTCTCTACCACATCGCATCCAACTTGTGGAGCATAACTACTGACGATGTTTAGCATCAGACCTTCTACTTCTACTTTCAGGCACATCACCCTATCTGACTCTCTTTTCATCTACTACATTCTTTGCCAACTCCTCCTTCAGGACCACCCTACTCCATTTCTCTTTATATCCAGACCATGGTAAAACAGTTTAAACCATGCTCCAATGCTGTGAGCCTCGCTGCCCTTCCACTTGGTCTCTTGGACACATAAAAGATCTACCTTCCTTCTCAGCATCATGTCAGCCAGCTCTCTATCGTTGCCTGTCATTGTCCCCACATTTGCAGTTGCAACACTCAGTCCTACATTCTTGACTTTCCTCTTCTCCCTCTGTCTCCTGACACATTTCCCTCCTAGTGGTCTTCGACTAACATATAGCACAATTTCCACTGGCACCCTGTTTGTCAACAGCACCGGTGGTGGTCGTTGTTAA